AGGACTGATACAAGAGTCGAACTGAAACTTTAAACGAAACTTTTTTCAAACCCACTCACCTTGAAAAGCAAACAAACATTTTGAAAACACAAATGAGCAAGTATCTAAGAGCCCACGGATAACCATGGATAGAAAGGGTGCTAACACCTTCCCTTTCTATAAATCTACCTCCCGAACCGAGAACTAATCTCAATAAGGAATTTTTCTGTGCTTTTGTCCTTTCCATGTTGGAGAAAATAAAAGACGGTGGCGACTCTTGCTTCCGCGACATTTCGCGAACCAGCGTTAAACAGTCAGTTCCAGATCCACCGATCACACTAGCCATGCAAGATGAACTCAATCAATTTTCCAGAAACGATGTATGGGATCTAGTTTCAAGACCTAAAGGATTCAACATTATAGGAACTAAATGGGTTTTCAGAAACAAATTAAATGAGCAAGGAGAGGTGGTCAGAAAAAAAGCACGACTGGTTGCACAGGGTTATAGTCAACAAGAAGGAATTGATTATAATGAAACCTTTGTCCCAGTCGCCAGGTTAGAATTTATTAGATTATTAATTTCTTTTGTTGTTCAAAATAACATGTCATTATATCAAATGGATGTTAAAAGTGCATTTTTAAATGGCTATATAGAAGAAGAAGTTTATGTTCATCAACCTTCTGGCTTTAATGACTCAAAGTATCCAGAACATGTTTTTAAATTAAAAAAGTATTTATACGGTTTAAAACAAGCTCCCAGAGCTTGGTATGAACGTTTGAGTAATTTTCTTTTAGAATTTACCAGAGGGAAAGTGGACACAACTTTATTCAGAAAGACATTTAAAAATGACATTTTAATTTGTCAAATTTATGTTGATGATATTATTTTTGGAACCTCTAATATCTCCCTTGGAAAAGAATTTGCTGAGACCATGCAGGCAGAATTTGAGATGAGCATGATGGGAGAATTGAAGTTCTTTCTGGGAATACAAATTAACCAGACTCCAGAAGGTACTTACATACATCAGACAAAGTATGTTAAAGAACTTCTAAAGAAATTTCAGATGTCAGAAAGCAAAGATGCTAAGACACCAATGCATCCAACATGCATTCTGGGAAAAGATGAGGTAAGTATGAAGGTAGATCAGAAGCTCTAGAGAGGTATGATTGGATCCCTTCTCTATCTAACTGCATCTAGACCTAATATAATATTAAGCGTATGTTTATGTGCTAGATTCCAATCAGATCCTAGAGAATCTCACTTAACTGTTGTTAAGAGAATTCTGAGGTATCTGAAAGGTACTACTAATCTGGGTCTGTGTTACAGAAGATCAAAAGATTTCAGACTAGTAGGTTATTGTGATGCTGACTTTGCTGGAGATAGAATTGAAAGAAAGAGCACCTCTGGAAGCTTCCAGTTTCTGGGTGACAATCTTATCTTGTGGTACAGCAAAAAGCAAGCAACAATTGCACTTTCAACAACAGAAGCTGAGTATATATCTGCTGCTGGATATAGTTCTCAGATGATCTGGATGAAAAGTCAGCTAGAAGATTTTAATCTTTATGAAAGTAAGATTTCTATCTTCTGTGACAATACCTCTGCAACTTGTCTTTCTAAAAATCCCATTTTGCATTCTAAAGCAAAACACATAGAAATTAAATATCATTTTATAAGGGACTACATTCAGAAAGAAATTTTAAATTTAAACTTTGTAAAAACAGACCATCAATGGGCTGATATTTTTACCAAACCCCTTTCAAAAGATAGATTTAAATTCATTTTGAAAAATATTTGTATGGAATTATGTCCTTAATTAAATTGTATTTATCTTTTGTGTTTTCCTTCAGAATGTTTTGAAATGAATGTTCTGATTAACAACTCTTCAGAAGTTAGAAGAGAAGTTACATCAGAACCTATATATAAAGTTCTGAAATGTTCTAACGTTTTATTACAAGTATAGTTCACCAGTTCATTATATCAAACAGCTGTCTCATGCAACCTTCAGGAGATGAACACGTGGTGTGTTTTTGAAAGGTCACGCGTGCTAAGCTATTGACGCCGTTTCTAGATAGTTGTTATGATTCGCTCAAATCTCACGATTTCCCCTCAATTTTCAATATCATTAAATGCTAGTATTGATTAGATTCTTTTTAATTAATTTTTTAAAAACTCTTTTTACAGTTTTATTTTTTAAAACCTATTTCTCAAAAGTTCTCATATAAATACCATTCTAAAACCCCTTTCTCACTTTTTACCTTCTCTTTCAAAATTCAACCGTCTCTGTGTATTTTTCTCTGCAACCCATTTCTTCTCTCAACCTAAGTGCTCAAATGACTTCCTCCTCTACTCATTCTGGAAACACCCAATCTGAACAGTACATCATCCTTGAGATAAGCACTCTTATTCCAGTGGATAGTCTAGAAGTTATAAGTGAATTGATGGTGGATTTTGATAATCTAAAAGCAAATGAGTTTGACCTTCTTCCTACTGTGGAGTTTCAAGGATTAAGAAACTTCTGTGGGAAACGTTCAGAAGAACCTTAGATGCTGATTCACTGAAGTTGAAAGACTTATGTCATTCTCATGTGCTTGAGAACTTCTCCAAACATCTGCATGCTTTCCAGTCAGAAGCTGCTGATATTTGGGACAAGAAGTCTTCTCTGCTGATTGCCAATGCTCCTGTTGATCATATGGATATTTCAGAAGATGAATTTGAAGATGCCTCTAAAGATTCAAATTCTCTGGCAATAATTCTGTGTAATCAACCTTCTGCTAAAGCTGCACCTGAACCTGTGCCAACTCTTATGATTGATCTGGGCACTCCTCTTTCAACTTTTATTCGTTCTGACTCAACGGTTTCTACTCCAAAGGCTATATCTGCTGAAACTTCTTCATCCTATGCTCCTACTTCACTTGTTATGGATACTCTGAATGAGCTTAAGAGGGAAAATGAAGCTATTCATGAGCGCTTGGACAAGCAAGACGAGACTAACAAAGAAATCAGAAATTGGATGATGAAACAAGAGGAATCTGCATCTGAGATCAAGAATCTTCTTATGGCTCTTGTTTCTAAAAAATCTTAGTGTCATTCTGATTCTTGTTTTTGTTTGTTGTTTTGTACCTCTAAATATTTTTTATTAAAAATTTTACGCTCTTTAATTATTTTTATATACTTTTTTATTATGTCAAAAAGGGGGAGAAAATGAGTATTTTGATCTAATCCCTGATTAACAGTTATGAGACTATGTCTCAAACATTCTAACAAAATACAAAGATTTCTTTCTATGTTTAAAAGAATTTTGCAGGTATCACTAAACTCTGGAAGTTTAATTCAACTGAACATTATCTTCAAAAGACTTCTGAAGAAATCCTAGAAGAAAATTTCAAAGCTCTGATGAAAATTCTCAGGAAGTTTTTCTTATAGAAATATTTATTTCAGGGGGAGATTCTTATCTCTTGTTCAATTTTATTTCTAAATCTGAATATTTTTGTCATCATAAAAAAGGGGGAGATTGTTAGAACAATATTGGTTCTGATCATATCTCAGAGTTTTGATGATAACAATAAAATATATTTTATATAATTGATACTCTGATGAGCATATTTATTTGTTTCAGATAATGTTCTGACTGAAGTATTTTCTTAGATGAAAATCATTTTGACGTGCTGAGTTGAAAATAAATGAAGAACTTCTTTGATGAAAGAACTATTTGTTTTAGCGCAAGTTCTGATGCTGACTCTGATAAGAAACTATTTTATGCATCTTCTAAAGCTTAGCAAGTTTCCATGTAAACTATGTTCAGAAGTACTTTGAAAGCAAGTGCTGATAAGAAGTTATTTGCAAGCATATTCTGAAGCAAGATGTGAAGCTAAGTCTGATAGAATAAATAAGCTAACAAGTCTTATCAAGTTTCAGGAAACATGCTCTGACAAGTGTCGTTTGTTTATTTAATGTAAAGACGGCTACATACACTCAAGTGTCTACGCTAGTTCATTGGAAAATGCAATACTGCAAGCAAACACGCAAACATTAATTGTTCTCCACTTTTGAAGGCAGCAACGGTCGTTTTCTTCATGCTATAAATAGAAGATCATTTATTGCAAGCCAACAACCCAACTACGTGAAAATATTCTGCTGCTCACAAATCATTTTACAAACACTTTGTGCAAAACTAATCTTAGTGAAAAATCACAGTTTGTGATATAGCTGTCTAAGAAGCAATTTGTTTCACTATCTGTAAAGATTTAATTCTTGTATTTGTTCCTTGAGAGACCAAGCTTGATCAGATTTCTCAAGAAGGCTAGGACTAGTTTGAATCTTAGTGGTGTTAGCCACTTGTAAGTTTACTTGTGCTTTGAATTGTTAGTCACAACAGTTTGGTTGTGTGATTGTAATCTATTTGATTATAGTGAATTAAGTCCTTGTTGAGAAAGGCGAAATCACCTTGACGAGTAGACCGGAGTAGTTTGAGTTCAAACGAACCAGGATAAAAATAACTGTGTCCGTCTGAATGCTATTTTTTTTGCCTTTGACTTGGCTTGATTTGAGATGGTGTTTGTCGTGTATTTGATGCATCTAAAGATTGAAATCTAAACTTTAAAGATAATTTTGAAATTCCAAGTGTGTGTGTGAGAAAGGCACGGGGCTTGTGGTGCTCTAAATCCTAATGGTTTGATACGCTATTTTTATGGAAATGGTTATACCCCATAAGTAGTATTGTACTTCTATATTTTTTGGTTTGGACAAATATACTCTTCCTTATTTTGCTTTCCCCGTCACCAGAATTGTACCTTCAACCCAAATTTAAATGCATCTGGATTTGGCTACATCATAAACCAATAATTTAACACACAACAAACAAGTAGCTTTCATAAAAAAAGCAAAAATGTATGCACCAATATCAAATAAATCTCATATTTCCTCTTCATTAGTCTAAAGATAAATTCACAGCCAAAACTAGATCAAAACCAATTATACAATGTAACATATTGTAAAATCACTAAACAAAGTTCCTATCAAATCAACTTGTATCTGTTGTATCCCTATTGCTACACTTGAAACTTTTAAGCAGGGAAATTTTTCTCCCTACCAACAAAAATAATAAAATAAACACTAAAATTCGATAGCTTATCGCCATCAGAAACAAAACCAACAGATTTTTCCATTTCGCGTTAACGTCGGGGGAGATATTGTATGCACCTTGAAGAGCTTGAAAACCAGATATGGACCTTACCTGCCCAACTGCAAAGGAAGTACCTAGATACTCGTTCTCCAATAGCCCCTAAGAAAGATCATAACGAGTAAATGACATATTTAGATTATCAGTAAAACTATTTTACACTGTCGTTTCATATCAATTACTACCTCCGTCCCTAATTATAAGACCCTCTTGAGTTTTTTGAGTTTTTTTCTTGTCCCTTTTTATAAGATCCTCTTCAACTTTCAAAGTGCATTAATTATTTTTTCCAAACATACCCTTAATTATATTACATATTTTTCTACAATCTGTAATGAATACAGTTATATACACATTAACTATTTATCTCTGCTAAGGATAAACTTGTAAAATTATACAAAATAGTCAATAAATTTATTACTCTAACAAACTTTCAACGGGGTCTTATATTTAGGGAGGGAGGTAGTATCTATTACCTGAATAGAGTATGTATGAAAGGCTATATAGGACATCGGATACATCCACACTGGTCCTGGCAAAGTACTTCGAATTCTGAAATAGCCGGCTGAAAGCATCATGACCACCTGAAATGGCATATATATACGCATTAGTACTTTAGTTTAGGAAATGCCTAAAAGCTTAATGGGCAGCGGAACTCACGTGTACGCATAAGAGTGTCAAGACACTCCAGAAAACTTCTTGCCACAAAGTAGCGACAACTAGCATGATTCCTTCGTTTAGTAAGAGAGTTACGAAAAAATTCAGCACGAAGTACATTAACAAGCTGAACTGATCTTCTAGCCCTACTAGGAAGTAGAAGACTAGACTTGACGTAATGGAGATGAGAAAAAGAAACGGAATGCTGGACAGGAGCTGCGCAAGTAAAAATACAAATGTACTCGAATGTTGGTTTGATTCTTCACACGCATATATCTGCAGAAAGGCAAATTATTCAACTTCATCGAAAACAAGACATGACTATTACTGTAAAGTCGAAAAAGTATTAAAAAACTACCTTGATTTCTTTCATAAGTGCAGGTACCCTGGCGATGCTTAGAAGTGAACAGAATGACACGAATACAAAAATTGCTGCAACTCTTGCCTGCAATATAAAGCGTGTTAAAACTTAAAACTGAATTTACATCGACTATAATTAATATTTAGAATTGTTGGTATGTATAAATGAAGATTTAAACAATATGCGATATTATACATTGAAAAATATATGTGATTGTCAAGTCGAGACTCACCCCAACAGAAGACAGAGAATGACCTAAACCAGAAAATGAAGTACCAATGCACAGTGTGAGGAGCATGTAAAGAATAAGATGAAGCCAGTAATATTTCCATTCTCTTGACACGACTAATAAAGATCTCCACGTTAAGACCGCAACCCGAGTAGCATTGCTAGCTTTCCCTTTGCTTTTGAGAGCTGGACCTTCCTGGAAAATCAATAATACTTTTTAAAAAGACTCTAAAGTTAACGACTTATTAAAAAACTCAACATAACAGAAGTTCTAACTTGCGTAGCAGCTATAACATACCTTCTCAGTGAGTTTCAGAACCATTGTTTCGACAGAAGCAGCATCTGTGGATGACTTATAAGTTGCTTCAAGTGTGCGTATAGCAACAGCGGTGTCCATGTTTACGGAAGAAAAATCTCCGTTGTCATCCTATTAGGATGAGAATGTTAATAATAGCATACTATTTAAAAGAGTTTAATCTGTTAACATTAATATACCAATGACACATTACATTTAAAAAAAGTTAAATCTTTTAATAATAACATGGAAACGAGAAGTTAATCATCAATCTACTAAAAACAATTACCTGCCAGTTTTTACACATAGCAATTATCCTGTCGAAATCGGTATTAATTGCGCGTAAAAAGTGATCCGAAGGACTTTGCATGATTGGACAAGGAAATCCAGCGTTCGAGAAGTGCTGTATGAACATAAAATTATAACAGTCAATAGCGAAAAAAGTAAAGTTCTCGACAAGTTTGCAACCATACTCATCTTCCAACAACGATTTAAAACTTAAAAAACAGTACTAAAATCGTTCTTGATCAAATTTTTTGTGCAGGGGCAGGAAAGAATAGAAGATAAGTCACCTGCAAGCAAGCTAACGTTTCTCCGAAGAACAAGGTATTTCCATTTGAAAGCAGACAAATTCGGTCAAAAAGACCAAAAACCTCTGTGCTACTCTGGTAGATGGTTATGATAAGAGTGCAACCGGTGCTTGCAAGTCTCCTCAATGTAACCATCATCAAAAGTGCCGAGACACTTAAAATAGATATATAACGAAAAGGATGTTAACGAAAAAATTGTTCTAAATATGGAATACATAAAAATGAATTGAAAAAAGTAAATAAATAAATAAACACCTGTCCAAATGATAAAGAGGTTCGTCTAGAAATAAAATACGCGGTCTCATCACAAGCTCCCTAGCAATGCTAACAAGCCTTCTTTCTCCACTAGGAAGTCCTTTCATATAACAATGACCGCCTATAAGCTTATTTGCATGCTCACCTAACGACATTGCATGTATAGCGTCTTCTACTACACTCTTTTTCTGACAAAAGAAACCGGGAAGTTGCAGCAAGGCTGAATAATACAGAAACTCGCGCACGGTGAGGGATCCAATCAGAGTGGTTTCTCTATCCACATAACCCTGCAAATTAAGAAACAGATTTTGATATACATACACACAATTTTAAACTTACACATCCGTTCTTCAATTGAACAACTATAAACACAATGGAAATCAGAAACTGAACTCACATATGATCCATAAGGCATATGCGATTTCGCTCCGTTCACAAACACTTCACCATACATCCTAGCTGAAGGATGCAATCTTCCTGAGGTAAAGAGAAAGTTCCATTTTAGCTTTGATTACCGAAACACAAATATGAATATCATTTGAAATATATAGTTAAAAAAGAACAATGAAGGTGTTCTTCAAGACCTGCAATGGCTCGTAATAATGTAGATTTCCCTGATTTAGCAGGACCCATAATTACAGTCAATGTCCCGGGCAATGCATAACCGGTTGAACTCTTAATAACCTTATCAGAATACTTCCTTTTTCCCTTTATAGTAACAGTCAAATCTTTCCAAGCTACAGAAGCCCCGGCAATCTTCCGTGGAATGACAGCACCTTCCGGTAGATGCGGCGAAGGCAAGGAGCCGCTGTTGAGTTTCGAGAGAGAAGGAGAAGCCGGTGTTGTTGCAGCATTAATAGAGTCACCTCCTTCCTCAACTCTAACATCAATATCAGTAGTATCATCCCACTCAGGCGAATCCTCAAATGAGATCGGTTGCCTCAGCGAACCGGGTTTACGCAGATAGAAAAAGTTGCTTGACGGTACCCTACTCGCCGGACTACTAGCCGATGATGAAGAAGACCTGTAATTATCTGACTGAGACTGTATTTCTTCCATGATCCTCAATTTCTTTCCCCTTAAAACATCAAAATGCACACATCTTTACACAAGTAAGCGAATTCTCATTACGCATGCTATCAAGTATCAACAACCTGCATTGCAAATCACAAATCAAAGATCAAAAACAAAAAGCAAACACCACAAAGACAATTTACAAAATGCAATTAATCTCTACACATAAACACTAACTTGTAGTAATAATCATCATTAAAAATGAAGAAAAAAAACATTAAAAAAATGCAAAAATTGAAATGACATAAAAAGTAAGAGGGGTTTCAAAGGGTTTTAAGGGAAGGAGACATACCCTATTCCTCTTACACAAAACCCATATTTATTTTCCATTAAAAAATGGAACAATAACCAAAAAATCAAATCTTGCACAGAAAAATTTCCTTTTCCATGGATATCAACTATACCATATACACACCACTTTCACAAACCATGCTATTATTACTCATTTATTTCACACTAAACATAAACAAAACAAAAAAGGAATAAACAAACATAGTAACAAAAACAAAAACAAAAACTCATGTTTGTTATAGTTGAAAGCTGAGCTGAAAATTCAACACAAAACAATGAAAATGAATGGTGAAAACTATAGAACAAAGAGGAAATGACAAAGAACATACATACCAGGATCTGATGAAACCATTGTTATTGAGAGAGAGAGTAAGTAACCTCTTTGTGTATGTGAAGAAGAAGGTGAATGAGAAAAACCTGTGGTTTTGTAAGTATTGGAAGAGTTATTGATTTGACCCGTTGAACCCGGGTTTTTTTTTTGTGTGTTTTTTGTTTTTTCTCTTTCTTAATCTTAGTGTCTGTCTCACACTTTCTCTTTTATCTTTTCTTTTCTTTTTGTCTTTTTTATTTATTTTTATTTATTTTTTGCTTTTTTCATCAAATCATCATAATGTTTCACTAATCATAATAACTAATTAATTACTCTCATTATGTTAAAGAAGAAGTTATGAATGCTTGTTCATTATTGGAGTGGTGGTTGATTGAATGAAATTTAGATGAAAATAATGTTTCTCTAATTTAAGATTAGGTTAATTTCCCAAATTGTAAGTTGGAATTTTTGACTTCATAACTCGTGTAGACAAATTTAAAGACTTAACAGAAGTTAGAAACAAAACAAAAGTAAGAAAAACTTTGTTTGTTGAAGAAGTTGATACTTTTAAGGTAAACCACGGTGCTAATTTAATGTATATGGTAGATATTGCGAGCAATTTGGTTTTATAGTAGTTTGTAAAATAATCAGAATTGGATCGGTAGTTGAATCTGTGTATTTGTTGTTGGAACAAAAGATTTAAGAAAAAATATTTTGTGAAAATAAGAAGAAGAAGAGAAGAGGAAAAATTGTAAGTTAGTTAAGTGTAACTAACTCTCTAACTGAATGTATTATTATTGCTCTTATTGTTACACATTTAATTACAATAATAATGGCCTTTATATAGGCAAAATGTCAAGGCCCAAATACACATGTTAAAAGTTCAAATAACAACATAACAAGAATTAACCAACTAACACACCTTCTTAATTCATGTTATTAAGACTTCACATCACGGTGCCTTTCTTTAACTCTTCGAACTTCACTTTCTTCAGAGGTTTGGTGAATATGTCAACTAATTGCACTTCTGTCTTGTAATGTTTCATTTCGAGCTTCCCTTTGTTAACTTGATCCCTAAAAAAACGATACCTTCTTTCAATGTGCTTACTTCGACCATGACTCACTGGGTGATTCGCAAGGTTTATAGCTAACTTGTTATCAACAAACAGCTTCATCTTCGAATCCATTATTTTGAGTTCTTCAAGTAGCATTTCGATCCATGCTGCTTGGCATGCATCATATGATGCAGCCACATATTCTGCTTCGCATGATGACAAAGCCACAATGCTTTGCTTCGTCGAACTCCAGGAGATTGGAGCTCATTCGATCATGAAAATGTATCTTGCAGTACTCTTCTTTTCGTCTTGATCTCCACTGAAGTTTGAGTGAGTGTGTCCATGAACTTCGACATCTGAGTTGTTCTTTGATTTCTTTGGTAACAGCACAACATGATCAATAGTTCCCTTTATGTATCTCAACACCCTCTTTACTGCGACGAGATGACATTCTTGAGGCTTCTCCATAAATCTGCTCAACAATCCTACACTTTGACAGATATCTGGTCTAGTATTGCAAAGATACCTCAAGGATCCAATGATTTATTTGTAAAGCGTCGAACTTACAAACTCATCATTCGATTCCTTTTTCAGCTTTGCTCCAGTCTCTAATGGAGTAACAATTGTCTTACAGTTTCTCATATTGAACCTCTTCAGTATATCTTGAGCATACTTCATTTGATGCAAGAAAACTCCTTCTTCGATATCTTTGAATTCCATTCCCAGGAAATATGAGAGATTCCCTAAATCAGACATTTTGAATTCCTGCATTAACTTTGACTTTACCATCATTATCTCAGCTTCGTCTGCTCCTGTAATGAGTAAGTCATCAACATAGAGACATAAAATGATTCGATTGACACTTTCGACATCATTTACATATACTTCATGTTCAGAGACACACTTTGTCAAATCTACTTCGATTAGGAAGCTATCTATCCTTTTATTCCAAGCTCTAGGAGCCTGCTTCAACCCATAGAGAGTCTTCCTTAATTTGTAAACTTTTTACTCTTGTCATTTGACGTCGAAACCTGGTGGTTGAGTAACATAGACTTCTTCTTTCAATGGACCATTCAAAAACACTTACTTTACATCAAGTTGGTGCATTTTCCATCCTCTACATGCAGCTATCGAAACAACAATCCTGATTGTTTCGATCCTTGCAACAGGTGCATATACTTCATCGAAGTCAATACCAGGTTTTTGTAGAAAACCTCTGGCCATCGGTCCTGCCTTATACTTTGCAATCTCACCATTTGCCCTTCGTTTCACCTTGTAGATCCATTTCACATCAATTGATTTCTTGTTGGTTCTTTCGACAAGTTCCCAAGTCTTGTTCTTCTCAATGGCTCTAAGTTCTTCTTTCATGGCTTCACACCAATTCGAATTGCTCAAGGCTTCCCCCAAATCAATTGGTTTTGCTTCAGCCATCATCATGGCTTCTTCAATTAAGTCACCATCTACATCGGTTGTTTGATCTGGAAACCTCTCATATCCAATCAACCTAGTCGACTTAGTTCTTGTTCTTATGGATCTTCTTTCATTCTACGCAGATGGTTCTTCATTTCGACTTGTCGAAGCTTTATTTTATTCATCTTCTCCGAACACAGTTATGACTGTGTCTGATTCTTGTCGAACTGAACTCCGACTCCAATCTCACCATTTGCTTTCATCTATAAGAATATCTCTATTGTTCACTAGTTTATCTTCGATTGGTGAATACAACTTGTATGCACCAGTCAAATGATAACCTATGAGCACCATGACTTCACTTTGATCATCCAGCTTCTTTCTCAATTGTTCAGGTACATGCCTGAAACACATTGATCAAAAAACTCTAAGATGACTTACATTTGGCTTCGACCCTGTCCAAGCCTCATGCAGTGTCTTTTTCACTATCTTCTTTGTTGGGCATCTATGTAGAATGTATACTGCTGTCGAAGCTGCTCCAGCCCAAAATCTCTCAGGTATATTCTTAGCTTTCAACATACATCTCGTCATGTTCAATACACTTATATTCTTTCTCTCATCTATGCCATTATATTGAGGCGTATAGGGTGTAATAACCTCATGCTCTATACCTTACTCATTGCAAAATCCAGCAAATTCAGCAGAAGTATATTCACCACCACCACCAGTTCTTAACTTCTTCAATTTGCAGCCACTTTTTTTCTCAGCATGCAACTTGAACTTCTTGAACTGTGTGAATACCTCACTCTTCCTCTCAATAAGGTAAATCCATATATGTCTAGTGAATTCATCAATGAAAGTGAGGTAATGCCTGTTACCTCCATTAGACTTTACTTCAAAGGGTCCACACACATCTGAATGAACCAGCTCCAGTTTTTGCCTTGATCTTATACGCAAGTCACGTTTGAACGCCTTCCTTGCATGTTTGGCTTTGCAGCATTCCTCACATATCTGCTTTGGTTCCTTCATATACGGCAACCCAAGCACCATTCTTTTCTTATTAAGCATACATAAACTCTTGAAGTTTAGATGTCCATACATGTGATGACATAGTAAGTTCTTGTCTTCTTCTGTAGTTGAAGCAAGACATTTTTGATCTGGTGTGTTGAGTTCAACCTTGAACGTTTTGTTCTCCGCCAATGGTGCTTTCATTATTAGTCTCTCATCATCCCTATATACCTTCATCTGATTATTCTCCAACTTCATATTGAATCCTTTTGCAAGTAATTGACCTACACTTATCAAGTTACTTGTCATCGAAGGTACATATAGAACTTCAGTGATATTAGCCTTTCGACCATTCTTTCTGATAATCGAAATATCTCCTTTACCATCTGATTTGATATGTCTGCCATCTGCAAACTTTATCACCTTTTCGACTGACTCTTCTAACTTGGTAAACCAGTTTTTATTGCCAGTCATGTGGTTGATACATCCTGAATCCATATATCACATGTTGTTTTTCTCAATAGTCGACTGAGTGTTCACCAGCAACAACATATAATCAGAATCGATATCTCCAGCTCGTGCATATTGAGCTTCATCACTATCTTTCGACCTTGCAGCTTTCTTTCTTCGACAATCTCTAGCATAGTGGCCAAAACCTTGACAATTGTAACATTGCACCTCTTTCGTGTCAACTTTCTTCCCAGAATACTTGTTGCTCACACCTTTCGAATTAGTATTCTTGCTTGACTTCTCATCACCAGCAAGATTCTTTCGCTGCTTCGACTTCTCTTTTCCAGCTTTCTTATTGAATCTTGATTGCAATGCTTGTTCAGTTGCCTTCTCTCTTTCTGAGTTTCTCTGCTGCAGCCTCATTTCGTGAGCCTTCAATGAAGCTTGAAGTTCTTCTAACT